AGAGAGAGAGAGAGAGAGAGAGAGAGAGAGAGAGAGAGAGAGAGAGGATTGATGGATCTGGTCTATTCAGAACTGTGATTCTGGTATGTGTTGTGACACTGTCTAGGAGCATTTACTAATTTGCCCAATGTGTAGCACACATCATGAGGAGAAAAGATAGCTCACTGAATGAGAAGTCTCAGCTGCGGTGGTGCTCTGGAGATGCAGCATGGGGATATTCACTGTGAGCGTCTACCGGGCACACACAAACATCCAGTGACGAGCAATAGACACTGCAAACCCAAACCACCTCCTCCCTGAGGTTCCACCCACAGACATCACTCAAGGTGCTTCTACATCTCACTGGGACACGCAGACAGGAAGGACAACTTAGTTGAATACACTGACTGTGATATTGGTTGCGATATCTCTAATGTCATATCCTGAACCATCCTTGAAAGCCATGTCCTTAATAGGATCCTAAGGGGATGCCATTTTCATGCCTGCATCAGCTTGTCCAAAACTACCTCTCCTCCGACTTTAATAATATCACCAAGTACCTGGTAGTTCTGTTGAATCTGTTCTTTTGATAGTGATGGACCGTCCTGCACTTCCTTCAGGACACCTCCTGGCCTTTCTCCCTTTTCCTCTGCCTTCCAGCTGCTCTTCCTGCCTGTGGCTGCACGATCCCTTTTTCATGGTCTTCTTCCTCCAGCTTCTTTGGACTCTACACATTCTAATAATTTAAACACTGACCCCCTAACACACACACACACACACACACACACACACACACACACACACACCCTTCCATAGCCTCTTTAAATAGTTTAACAAATATGATTTTTTTTATTCTACCTAAAGAGATGAATGTATTTTCCAGCTGGGGAGAGAGCTCTGTGGTAAAGGATTTGACAAACATGCATGATGCCCTAGGTTCAATCACCCACACTGGAAAACATATTTCCCAATACCGATCACCAGTTACACAGAGTGTGTTTCACTCAGGTGAAATTCTTCATTCCCTTTGAGTTTACTGTATTTATCTGCTGTGAAACAAGCTGTCACTTGGATTGGTTTAATAAAAGGCTGACTGGCTGGGAGCCAGGCAGGAATTATAGCTGGGACAACCAAACTAGGAGGATGATGGGAGAAGAAGGGTGGGGTCAGGAGAGATGTCAGCCAGTCACTGAGGAAGCAGAACATGTAGAAAATGAGGTAACAAGCCATAAGACATATGGCAAAGCATAGACAAGAAATATGGGTTAATTTAAATGTAAGAGTTAGCTAGTAACATGCCCGTGCTATAGGTCAAGCATTTATAATTAATATTCAGCCTCAGATTCAGTTATATGGGAGCAGGATGTCAGGATAGGAAAACTCTGCCAAGATTTATCCCCACGATAATGTACACTTGTTCCATTTTATCTGTATCCATCCCAATTTTAACCATTCTCCAAGGTTTATTGAGTTGCCCTTTGTCTAAGAAGCCATCTTACAGCCAGTGGTCATGTCACACACATTTAATCCCAGCACTCAGGAGGCAGATATATGAATTCAAGGCCAGACTGGTCTACAGAGCGAGTTCCAGGACATCCAGGGCTACACAGAGAAACCTTGTCTCAAAAAACGAAAACAAACAAACATTTCACATTCTTCCACCCTGTCAAGAAATATTCAGAGGCCATGCCAACTAACGGGTTGGGCTCTGTGGATTCAGAACCACCCAAATGTCACGGTTCTTGGCCTTTGCCTTCACAGGTAGAACAGGCCTTTACCCTGATCATGTGTAGAGTTCTATCATTTACAAATATGGTCACCATTTTCACTAAGTAGAGGAAAGCCCTTTAATGGTAAAGGCCTTTTACACTTCTGTGTAGTGGGTAGCCATCCGGGTCTCGGGTCTCCAGGGTCCTCCCTTGGCCCCGCATTGTAGGCGTGACAGTTGCCAGAGTCTCAATGGGGGTTGGAACTTCCAGATCCAAGCTGGAATGGCTGCCCACTCCACTTCTGAATGCCTTGCATGCAAGAAAAAGCATGGCAGTCTCACAACATATGATTGTTGACTGAACTGAGGGAACTACATGGGCCTGTTGGAACTTTACAGTGATGAATCTACATGGACCAAATATGCAGGATCAGCAGAGTGGATCAGAGCTGTGGGGAGGATGGAAGAGAGAAAGTCCTAAATGACAGCAACTGAGAACTGAGCAACAAGTGCAATGTCTCAGACGCAGGGCGGGGACAATGAGGACTCATTGATGGATGTCCATATCACACAGGGCATTCCTGTAGCACTAAAGCAATTAGCCAAGGCTATTTTTCAAGCCTGCCTCTGCTCTAACAGGAAGTGACTGTGACGTAAAAATGCACTATACTAGATGTATGATGGAAAGGAGCAATGGTTTAATAAAAGGACATTGCTCTGTGTTTACCATCCTGGAGACAACTGGGCTTAGCATCAGGTCAAGTTCCAAATGCATACCAATGGATTTGCAGACCAAGTGGCTGGCTTAGCTGAGTACAACTAGAACCAAGAGCCCCATGCCTACATGAAGACGAAGGCACAGAAACAATCAGAGGCATTCAAGGGGGACACGGGCAGGAGTAAGAAGTACTTCCTACACAACCCAGGGCCACCTGCTGTGCACATCCCAGGAAGTGAGATCAGAGTCAGGTCTGGGCTAGACAAGAGACAAGCACACAAGCTGTCTATTTTACAGCGTTTGTGTATTTGCAGGTCTAAGTTCATGCGTGGTATGTGCACACTGTGAAAATGCATTGAGCTTCGCTTAAATTTCAGTGCTTCATCTTTATGCTGCTGCTGTCCTGACAGGGGCCTAATGGCCCAATTTCAAGAATCCTAACCAGATTTGTAGTAAACCAAATATAAATAATTATAAGAACTGAACTTGAGGTTCTCAGGTTAAAAAAACTCCGAGTGATTCAATATTAGTCAAGAATGGCCTTTCCAACAAAGAAAAAACAATCTGACTGACACAGACAAATCCAGATGGTTTATTATCAGCCCAATAAAATAGATTATCTACCCACCAGATGAGTGATGTCTGTTCTGCGTCTTGGTATAACTGAGTCACTGTGTTTGGGACCTTTATTCTTGCCAACACCTGCTGGTTCTCAGAAGGCCTGACTGTATGTACCCATCTTGGAGACGAATTAAGAATTACGCAGTTATTAGAATTATCTTTTGTCTACATACCTAGGATAGTTTCCAGGATCCTTGAAAACCGTGAGACGATGGTTTCTCTACCTAAAAACTCAAATGCTCTAAAACCTCTCCAGTGAAAGAAGAAAAGGCAAGTATAATTTTTCATACTGAACAGATGGGAAAACTCAGTCATGGGGGGGGCAAAAAATTGCTCACAATCCCACCAAAAAAAATGTGTCACAACCCAAGAGTGCCCAGCACTACCCCCTCCCTCTCGGCTCACACACCTAAACCTTGATTTGTGACTCTGACCTTCTCACTTCCATATCAACACTGATTCTCCTAGTAAACGTTCCCTTCCTCTTCTAATTGGGGTAATTATTATTTATACACTTATGTGGCATTTCTCTTCTAGTGACTCATCTGTCCCCAAACCTCCTCCACCCACAGCGACTCCCTCTGGCACCATCTATCTATAACACCTGCATCGGTTCTCATCTTCTCCAGGTCAGTTCATCCTATCACACTGGTACTCATACAAGCGTCACTTATGCACTCCAGACCTTTTCTGTGTCCCGCTGGGATTCATGCTCTGCTAAGCACCAACACGCTCCTCCCGACAGACAGGCTTTATCCGTTCCCTCATGGCTTATGCATCTTAATTCTAGTTCCACAGAGAACGTGACCATTAACCAAAAGGGGAATGAAGATTCAGATTTCTTACTTACCCCTCCAAGTGGGTTCTTTTTCCACACTTCATCTGTTTTATCGAAACATTACTATTTCCATTCAAAGAGACAACGCAGCTTAGGATGTGAATGTGCAGACCGCCCACAGTCATTTAACCCTCTGGTGCCCGAGTTGCCTCATTTGTGAAATAGAGACTAGCAAACCTCACAGGCTTGCAGGATGAACACATTGTATCCATAAAGCTTTTAGAGGGCAGCCTGTCCTTATGAGGACTGCTACGAGAAAGTTCTCTCTGGTAACCTCCCCAAAGCTGTCAATGGGGGCTTGCGTACATGATGTCATTTTTTCACAGATAAGAATTAAGGCTTGTGGGGCTAGTGACAAGTGCCATCTGTGAGGAGGTCGCACTAGAGCTCGGCTCCGATTCCTGCCTGGCTCTGTGCTCTCCTGACGTGCAGCGTGGCCCCTTCTTCCTTCTGCCTCCCGACGTGACAATGGGAATCCTAGCCGTGCCACTGAGACATCATGCGACAGCTGAGTGCTGCCACAGGAAGAACTTTCC